TGGCGGACACTGGGGCTGGCGGGCCGTGGTGCGTGCAGGGCCCGGCCAGGGTTCCCGGGGAAGGCCCCGTGCCACGCCGTCCCACTCGCTGCACGATTGACCTGCTTTACGCGTGGTCTTCGTGCAAAGCCTTTAGAGGTGAGGACGGGCGAGGACGGGCGAGGACGGGCGAGGATGGGCGAGGACGGGCGAGGCGGCAGCAGAGGTCTGCTTCTTAGGCCGCCTTCCTCTGGACGGCCCCAGAGACGTCAGCGTGGGTCTTCAGACGAGTTCTGTTTGAGGCGTATGTAAAGAGGACAGATAGAAAGCCCTACCCGAAGAGGCGCTTTTCTCCTGGTGGGAAGGAATGCCCAGCTGTCTGGGACTGAAGTGGGCCGATGAGCTTGCCCTGCGACGCGCCGGGACCCTGCCGCCCACACCGATGACGAGACGTTCTGTCCTTTCCGCTTTTGGCTTTGAAGTTGCCAGGAAGATGGAGCGCTGTGGAATCGAGATGCCCAGCATCCGCGCTGGCTGACCAGCTCACGCCGTATGGCATGGCTTGGAGCTGGCACGCGGCTGGCCGGTGGTGTGCGGCGGTGCAGTGCACGCCCTGAGTGGGTGTGCGTGGCGTCCCGGTGTTCCCAACGGAAGCAGAAGTGAGCGTGGACACTGCGCGTGGCCTCCCCCGAGAGCCATGGGCACGCTCGGCCGCCGGGGCCCCCAGAGGTGAATTGGTGGAACGGACCCTTAGAGCTGAGATAAAGTGAACAGCAGTTAAAACCGCGCCCGCCGGGCTCCGAGTGGTCTGGAGCAGCCCGGGGAGGCCACCGCGCGGGTGACGTCGGCCCCGGGAGAGTCGAGGAGGCCCCTCTCTCTCGGGCAGGGCGCTGGGTGCAGGCCGCTCTCACGCGGACTTCTGTTGCAGAGTACACGGTCATCAACGAAGCCTGCCCCGGTGCCGAGTGGAACATCATGTGCAGGGAGTGCTGCGAGTACGGCCAGGTGGAGTGCGTGTGCCCCGGGAGGAAGGAGGTGGTGGGCTACACCATCCCCTGCTGCAGGAATGAGGAGGACGAGTGCGATTCCTGCCTGATCCACCCAGGTGAGGGCATGGGCCGCGGCACCTGGGTCCGGGTGGGCAGCCCTCGGGATCGTGGCAGTCGGTACCCGCCTCGGTGTCTGAGAGCTATGATGCGTCCCCAGGTCACCACTGAACACGCAGACCGAACGTGCCCACCACCCTGTCAGGTCCTAGAAATTAGTGATAAGCAAGAGAAGCACAAGGGCCTAGGCAGCAGGGACGGGCAGGGGGCAGGGAGAGGGAAGGTCCGGGAAGACTTCCTGGAGGAGGTGACATCCATGCAAATATGGAGCGGACTGAGGAGGCAGGCTGGTGGGTCGCTCCTGAGGACTCTGATGGGTCTGGCTGAGAAAGAGCGGGCACCCAGCCCAGTGCCTCTCTGGTGGCAAAGGAAAGGAGCCAGAGCTCAGGAGGGAAGGTGGTGGTGGCCGTTAGGAGGCACGGTATGTCCCTGGGAGTCAGTCGCCGGCCACGTGAGCAAGGAGGTTGGTGACTGCATTAGCAGCTCGCCTTGCCTGGCGGGAGAGGCAGAGGGGTCACTCAGGCGGGATGTACGGAAGGAGGGCTGCCAGTCTGTCTCCCACAGAGACCACACAGCGAGGGGCTTCCGAAAGCTCATGAGAAAGTGGTTGGAGTGTGCGTGTCCAGGGGCCAGCAGGTGGCCTGGCGGTCAGGCGCTGGACTCCCACGTGGCCAACCGCAGCTCAAGTCCTGGACTCGAACTAGTGCGTGTGGGTGTGTGCCCAAGACCCCGAGAGGAGAATGAAGAGACCGGTGTGGCTGTCCCCTCTGCGGGGTGACTCCTCACTCCCTGTCCGTCTCTCCGGCGAGTGCATGCACTGCATGGGAAACAACCCTGAGTATATTGTGGGGCAAAGCATTTCAAGTCCATGCGTGGTCTCATAAAATGCACCCCGTGGACCACGTGGAGGCCTGGTACTCGTGACAGGCAGCTGGAACTTCTTTCAGCCAGGAGCCAAGAAGCGTCTGGTCTGCTCGGGTGACGAAGCCTGGCCGGCCACGTGTTCAGCACTCGGGGAACGTCTACCGAGGGCACGCGGCGTGCTGGCCACGGGCGGTGCAGAGCGCGTCAGGCTGGACGGGAAATGGTTCCCGCCTCGAGTGCATCTGAGAATGCCAGCGGCAGGAGGTGCGACCGCGCGGGCTGCGGGCCGAGAGGGCAGGCCCAGCGGAGCCCGGCAGAGCAGCGGCGCGCTGCCTGGGAGTCGCATCGGCTTCCGGCACGGCCGTTAGGTAGGTGCATTAGTACTATCAGTGTTTCACTCTGCCATAGGGCACATGTGCTCGCCGGAGGAGACAGACAGTGCGAGGGAGAGTGAGAACTCGCCCCCGTGTGACGGCCACCCCAGCGTCTTCTCCATTCTCTCAGGATGTGGGGCGTACGTGCACGCATATGCCTGGTGTGATTTTCAAGCTACCAGGTCCAGGATTTGAACCCTGGCTGGCCATGCGGGATCCCCGTACCCAGGCAGGAGCACGGAGGCACAGGGAGCTTACGCCGTCTGCTCGAGGGCCTGCAGCAGACTACGGCGGGGTCTGCCCGCAGCAGACCTAGCTCTCGGCCTCATGGTCGGATGGAGTTGTTCCTGCCTTCTCCCGCCATCCCTGCCCCTCGAGGAACCATGTTTTTGAAATGGGCCTCGCTGGAGAGCCATCCAGGGCCCGCGGTGTGGCCCTCTGGTGGGGTGGCCCGATGCCTCTGGGAGTCTGTGCTCAGGCGTCAGGGTCGTTTTCATGGCGACTTTGGTCCTTGACGCAGCAGAGACTGATTCGTGTGCGGGGAGACGCAGGCAGTGGATGTGGTTCGAGGCAGGGGACGAGGACGGCGTCTGCTGTCGGTGTGAGCCCGGTGCCAGGCACGCAGCCCTGCAGAGACAGGCGTGGGCCGCGTGCCGGCTTTGGCTTTGTGCTGGTCTGAACTTTCTACACTTCACGACGTGGTCGCTTCCTTGCTCTCAGCCGAGAGCTCACTCCCACGTCCCAGAGCGAACACCGAGGTCTGCGACGAGGGTCTCATGGAGATGTGAGCCGTGGAGACTCCGCGAGGGCTTCAGAAATGTTGGCACTAAAATAAACTCAGGCTTCCATCTCGTTTCCCACAAGCTTCCGGAAGTTCCCGTGTGACTAGGAAGCGGAGAGAGCGCCCCTTGGGGCAGGCCTGCCTGCTTCTCCAGCGGCTCCCGTGTCCCTCTGGCAGACCAGCCCCTGGGGAGGCCCAGCGCCCCCGGACTGCACCGTCCAACCCCGCCCCCTCCGGCATCCTTGGGGGCCTCCCAAGGCTGCTACCTCCCTGGCCAGACTGGGTGGAGGCTGCCCTGGGGAGGCGCAGCTCAGAACCTGCAGGCGCGCACCTAACCGCCCGTCCTTGGCATGTTCTAGGCTGCACCATCTTTGAAAACTGCAAGAGCTGCAGAAACGGCTCGTGGGGGGGCACCCTGGACGACTTCTACGTGAAGGGGTTGTACTGTGCTGAGTGCCGCGCAGGCTGGTACGGCGGAGACTGCATGCGTGAGTACCCGGCCTGCCCGGCCCACCCCGCGCTGCTCGGAGTCTGGGCTGCGACCCGGTGGCCAGAGGCAGTCCCACCTGTGGGGTGTGGGCCGTGGCTGCTGTTTGGAGTCACTGCCCAGGGAGGTCCCTTTGTCCCAGTGAAGCCGATGCCTTCTGCTGGGCCTGTCCGCGTCTGCCCAGTCATTTGGAAACACCGGCTCATAGGGGGAAGCTGCCAACTCTGGCCCCCCCATCGTTTGCGTATGAATTTGACGGCGAATTTCTTGACCCCTCTGTTAGGTCCCTGGAACATGCTAGCGAACTGCTAGCATGCGTTTGTCCCAGGAAAGGGTTCCTTCTGGGTCTGTCTGATCTCAGAGAAGGACTTCATCTTCAGCAGGGTCCCCTGGAGTTTCATAATTCTTTGAAGAAGGATGGGAGTCTGACCTCGTGCTCGGTCTGCAGGGAGCGCATGCCCGGTCACAGTGCCTTCCGGTGAATGTCCCCGAGGTCTGGGTCAGTTACTCCAGCCTGGACCGGAAGCGGTGGGGACAGTCTCACAGTCTGAGCGTTTTCCTCCCATAAACGACGTTCCCGGATTGTGCACGGAGGGTGGGGTGTTACTGGTACCCTCTGCCTGGTCCAGCCTATTGCAAAATTCCAGGGCCAGGATGAGGGACTGGCCTGCAGGGGAGGACCCCCACAGTGGCCGGAGGAGAGTAGGTGAGCTGGGGGGAGACTGACGTCTAGGGGAGAGTGGTCGAGGGCGGTGCGAGGCAGGGAAGGTAGCTCGTGCCCTGCCCCAGGCCGAGGCAGGAGCGGAGGTCCTGACGGGGCCATGGTGGCTACCACGGCCGGGCTGCTGGCACTCACAGGCTGGGTTTCGTTCCGTCTACACACTTGCTTGGTGAGGTCTGCGGAGCTTGGCAGATGGTGACGCCAAGACCCAGAGATATAAAGCGACTCGCCCAAGGTCACACCGGGCCGACTCCACATCCAGACCCCTAGTTCCTAGCCGGGCGCGCTCCTGCCTCCTCTTCAGAGTCTCCTCCAATGGCTCCATTTTCTCTGGGAAGTAGAAAGTGGAGCTCCTGCTGAGACTGAGGAGAAGGGAGGCTGGGACTGCGAGAACCAGCAGCCTGGGCGTCACTCCAGGAACTAAACCGGCACCCGCTAGTGAGTGAGTGTGTGCTGGGTGAGGATGAGGGCCGGGCGGGCCTAAGCTCCTTGGGAGGGCTGCAGCGCTCTGGGCGATACCCTCCAGTTGTGTGGCAGCGTGGCTAAAGGAAACCAGCTGTTCGCTTGATCCGAAACTGGCTGAGATGGGACCGGTGAGGGACCCAGACTGGGAAGGCCAGACCGCAGAAAGCACCTGGTGGAGAGAACTGGGGGTTGGAGGGCTCGGAGAAGTGGGAACTCCTTGGTAGAGGTTGTGGTAATGTTCCCACATGTACTAGTCAGTTTCTGCTGTGTAACAGACGATCCCAGATGACGAAGGTTTTCTTCATGATGGCTGTGTAGGCTGGCAGGACCTACTGGACTGGCCTGGGCAGGGCCCTGGGCTGCATGGCTCAGACAGAAGAGGCAGCAGCTGCTCGGGGTGTGCTCCTCTCAGGTGGAGGCTGGAGTACACACGCCCATTTGTGCCCCTGCTCACAACGGCTGCTCCCCCCCCCCCGGCCGGGAGCAGCTGTGTGAGCACTCTGTGGTCATAAAGAAGGGGCCTCTGCTCCACCCTCAAATCGGAGGACACAAGTGTCCTAGATGGCACCCCCGTACCGCACGAGAAGATGGGCTGGTCAGGTAATGGGGACGGAGAGGGGTGTTTACAGCCGGAGGGCAATGGAGCGAACGGTGCCTAGACCGGGAGCAGCTGTCAGAGAAATCTGCACGCGAGTCCTTCCGAGAGAAGCGAGTGGTGAGTCGTGGCCCAGCCAGGGCAGAGCTGGCTGCATCTGGGGTCTCGTTGGTGGGGCTACTGTGGTGTCCCCATGTTGGATCCTGCTTTATTTATAGGGACAGCAGCGCTGCTCGGGGCATGGCCGTGCACGAGCACAGGAGCAGAGGGCTCAGCCCCGCCTGCCGGTTACCCCCCCTCAGAGGACATTTCTCGCATGGGTATTCCTTGGTGCCAGGTGCATGGGCAGCTTGTGATTTAGAGAAGAGAGACCAGAGATAAAGTGAGACAGCGAAGAGGTGGACCCGTGGCCGGGTCTCTGTGCCACCCTGTCCGCCGTGCACGCCAGCCCACTCCATGTGCTCCCAAGCCCCATGCCAAGAACGCGTGCTGCCTCAGGCAGAAGCACTCGGCGCTTCTTGGGAACCCGAGGCTGATCCCCGTGAGCTCACAGACCATGAGAGGGACCGGGCTTGGCCATCAGAGGACCTCATGGGGCAGCGGTCGTGACGCCCCACCTCGCCGCACTGCATATGCGGCAGGGCTGCACCCTCCCTGACGCTCGCGCCCTGCCGATTGCCTGCCTGCGCGGAAGGCACTCGGACATGGGAAGGCCCGCCAGGGGCTGGTGGCAGGGCCGGAGTTCGTGGCAGTGTTGCACTCGCCCAGCAGATGGCGACCGAGGGACCTGTGCTGCCCCTTTCTCCTGCAGGAGGCTCCCTGCTGTGTCTGGCCTGGCCTGTTCCAGCTCAGCACCAGGACTTTAGCAAGGAGGGGCGAGGCCACGGGCCAGCGAGGGCAGCGCTGTTTCTCACGGGAGTCACGGAGCTTGGTGACGTGGGCACCTGTGCGCCCAGTGCCCTGACGTGCCGTGGCAGTGTTGGCCTGGCTGTGACGTGTGTGCCCAGTGCCCTGGCGTGCCGTGGCAGTGTTGGCCCGGCCTGATGGGCTTGACCAGTACTATGTGTGAGCTCACTGCTGGCCCCAGGGGCTGCATGACCCAGGAGGGCTGGCCGAGGCCAGACCACAGAGCCCGGGGAGAACTGACCCCCTCCTGGTCCAGGGAAGCCCGGCGACCTGGGTGAACCTGGCAGGAGCGGCCGGGCCTCTCCCCGACGTACCTGGGAAGGCTCACGCCTGCAGCAGGTGCACCGCGGGCACGTCCGGCTTCCGGTTGCCCTCACTCCGCCATCCGCCCACTCCCTTTTCTGCTCCGTGGACTCCTGGCTTTTAATCATGTTGTCAGAACTCTGCCCTGGTACCCACGCGGCCCAGCCTTCCAGCCGGCCTGGCCGCCTTCTTCCTGAGTACTTTCTGGCTTTCGCATCCTGCCTGCCCTACCCCAGAAATGTTCGGTGATTTCTATGGCCAGGTCGTTATTTCTCCACCTCCGGGTCCCTCGTAGAGGGAATGGTGCTCAGGAGCCGGGACCTCGCTGGGTACGAGACCTTAATGCGCGGAGTCAGAACCAGGCCTCCCTCTCAGTTCTCAGCGTAGGCCCAGTCCCTCAGCGGGGCCGCCTTGAACCTGTGCACTGACCGTGGCCCCGGCTGCCTGCCTTCTGCGCCGGGGGACGGGAGCGAGGACGGGGCACGGCAGCCCAGACATCCGGCTTGATCTGGACTCGGGCGTCCGGGGACAGGGGAGCGGCCAGATGGGAGAGGACTTAGGGGAGATTAAGGTCCTCGACACCTCATCTTCTTAGTTGTGGTGCACAGGCAGAGCCCCGCAGCCCCGGCCTTGAGCCCCACCCGAAACCGTGGGGAGAATATCGGGGGGCTGGGTGACTCCTGTGGGATGACACCTGAGCATAGCCAGGACCGGTTAAGAACAGATGGGAGCGGGGGAGGAAGGGAGAGACAGAGACAGAGACAGAGAGGCTGCAGCTACGTTCTGACTCGGGAGCCTTCCTCCTGGGAGCCATGGAACCAGCTAGAAGAGTCACGGAAAATCCATCTTGCTCCGGACACATGCCCCGCCCCCGGGTCCTGATGGCCTGGCCGTGTCCCGACGTGCTGAGCGGTAAGTGTGGCCTTGAGTGTCCTCTGTGCCTTTGGGCCAAGTGGCTCAGTCTTTGGAGCTGAAGTCGCCCTCTTACGAGAGGGGCAGCAGGCCTCAGAGGGGTCTCAGAGGGTCGAGGGCACCCCGTCTACGCCTCCCTCGACACGGCGTCTGGTGCAGAGTGCTGTCGCCTCTAAACCAGGGTCCTGAGATAGGCCCGCTTTCCTTGCTGTCGGTTTGTCAGGGGCAGGATGAAGCCCACCAAGGACAAGAGCGGGGGCTCACCCGGGCAGCCGCGGGGACGTGCACCGGGCACGGAGGCAGCCTTCCGACGCGCGGCCACGGGGTCCAGGCTCTATGAGGCGCTCTCTGACCCGGGGGGCTGACAGAGACCCTCCCAGAGGGTTCTGTGTTGTCAAAGGGCTCGTCAGTCACAGCTCTGCTTCTGGTGATGATGCGGACGGGCGTGAGAGACCCTGCTCCTACCCAGGGGAGACATCACCGGGCAGACCGAGGAAGCTCGCCCTTTAAAGCTATAACTTTTGTGCATGTGACGTCTACTGGGGTCTAAATTTCGGAGGAGATGGTCCCTGCTAGGTGACCTCGGGGTCCACATTCCCTGGACCTGGGGCCACGGCTGGGGACACGGCCGTGGAGGAGGGACCTGCCAGCCACGGAGGAGTCAGCCAGTCTTCTGACGGGCCTGGGCCTGTCGAGCTCCGATCTAACAGACCCCAGAGCAGACGTGACCCTTTCTACCAGGAGACTTCTTACACGCGGTTCTGCTGCACGGCAGAGGCTGGCGAGGCTGTGTAGCAGGTCCTGGGAGGTCGTAGCTGCAGAATTTGGAATCCCGGTGCCCTGCAGTCTCACAATCCCGGGAGGAGAGTGGCGGCCCCCGACACGAGCCCACGCCTTCCGTGGGTCCGGTTGTGTCGCCGACGTGTGGTGCCTGGCTCTTGAGCACGTTAAGCCGCAGGGCAGAGTCTCCTCCGATTCTTACTAACAGGCAGGGAGCCCCGGGTCTCCTGCCGCCCCAATTCCGCACATAACCCTCGGTTCGGGGGACACGAGTTCGTCTCCGGTCACACAGCCCATGAGAGCTACCCCGAGCACCTTTGAAGGAGGGAAATGCAGACACCTCTGTCTGAACACTCTGTCTTGGTTCCTTTTTGACGAGAGCAGCTATTAAGGAAAAACGACACCCAGCCACTTCTCAGAGCCCGTCCTGCCCCCTCCTGCCGCCTGTTGTAACACGGGAGGGGATGAGACTCATCGAACGCGGGGTGGCGTTCTGGGAGCACGCCCCAGCCCTCTCCTGGCTTCGGTGTGATGGGGATCCCCTCTGGGTCCTCCGCACAGCAGTCTGCCCGCCCGTCCTCTCTCGGCCAATGGGGAGGGTGGGGGGTGAGCCCGGAGTTGAGAGCCTGGGGGTGCCTAGCTTGAGCGACCGCTCCCCCTCCTTACACACGCGCACGCACACCCGTGTCCCTGTGACACTGCTCGGGAGTCCGTGCACGTCTCCGGGCCCGACACCCGCTCTGGTCTGGCAGGGGAGGCCGCCTGCCAGGCTGGCCAGCTGCACTTCCTTGGCTGGACACTCGGCCATGTGCTCTGTGCTGCTCACAGAGAGGCGTAGTCATCGCACACCGCGGCCCCACGGGAAGGGGCGGGTGGCTCCTGGCCTCTCGGGCCAGTGACCCTTCATCTAGGCCCATTTCCGAGAAGTGGCCTCTTGTCTCCGGCTGGTTGGAGGGAGTTCCGCGTGGAGGGGCCAACTCTGTCCTCCCTTCAGCCAGCGCACTGGGTGTCTGAACCTGGCTGTTTCGAGGGGCAGCCTTGGGCCCGTGGGAAATGGTGACTAGCACTTTGCAGGGCTGGGGGCTAGGAGACCTCCAGGTGGCCTGGCCTCACAGGCTTGGACGGGGGCCCAGGACATGGCTGCCACCCCCGTCCAGGGAGGACTCTGGAGGCTGGCGAGCAGCTCCC